ATGCTCCTGGCCTCTCCCTCCACCGCATCCCGGGGCCGGACCCCCAGCGCCGTGGAGAGGCTGGAGGCGGACAAAGCGAAGTATGTCAAGACGCACCAGGTGATCGCGCGGCGCCAGGAGCCAGCGCTGCGCGGTGGGCCCGGGCCGCTCATGCCGCACCCCTGCAACGAGCTGGGGGGCCCCGCGTCGCCCCGGACGCCCAGGACGGCCCGCCGGGGCAGCGGCCGGCGGCTGCCCAGGCCGGACTCCCTCATCTTCTACCGCCAGAAGCGGGACTGCAAGGCGCTGGTGGACAAAGAGAACGCCAAGGGCCAGGGGCTGGTGCGCCGCCTCTTCCTGGGCGCCCCCCGGGATGCCCCCTCCAGCGGCCCGGGCCCAGCGGAGCGGCCCGCGGCGGCAGGAGGCTGGGCCGCGCCCCCGGACGCCCCGGACGCGGCGGGCAAGCGGGCGCTGTGCCCCACGTGCTCGCTGCCGCTGTCGGAGAAGGAGCGCTTCTTCAACTACTGCGGCCTGGAGCGCGCGCTGGTGGAGGTGCTGGGCGCCGAGCGCTTCCAGCCGCGGAGCTGGGGCGCCGACGCCAGCCCCCCGCCGGGGACGCCGCCGCCGCCGGGCTCCGGGGACACCAGCGACTGGGCCTCCAGCGAAGGCGGCGCGGGCCGCTCGGACCACGCGGGCGGCGGCGGCTCGGAGGCGGCGGGGGCGGCGCGGGACGGGCGCCCCCCGGTGTCGGTGGTGGAGCGCAACGCGCGCGTCATCCAGTGGCTGTACGGCTGCCAGCGCGCCCGCAGCCCGCCGCGCGAGTCCGCCGTGTGACCGCGGCCGCGCCGCCCGGGAGCCGGCTCCCGAGGGGTCTGGCGTCCGGGGAGGGTCAGGGGGCGAGCGCCGGGCTGGACCCGGCACCGGCAGGGACGCCCCGCCTCTGGCGCGCAGGTGGATTTTTGGCAAGCCCCGCTTCCCCCGCTGGATCGTGGCTTCCCCCCGCTGGATCGTGGCTTCCCGAGTGACCGTGGGCGCACGGACAAGATCACTCCCAAGGCCCTTCCCGGTGCAGACGGCGGGCCCCAGCGCAGGCCGGGTCTGGGGCGCGAAGAACTCCGAGTCTGCTGAATAAAGGCAAACCGTTAAGTGAGTCCTGAAGTTGATGTTGAGGAAGGTGGCCAGAGAGGCTTGCGAGTGTGTTTTTGCGTGCGTTTTGGAGTGTGGGTTCAAGGCTGGGTGACTACTTGGGTGAGCACGTGACCTCTCCGGATGGCAGGTGCACCCCTCGGTGATCATGTGTGTGAAATAGCGGTAAAGCTCATGGTGCTCGCTGCCCCTGTCGGAGGAGTGTTCCCGCACACAGAAGCGCTCAGTGAAGGAAAGCTGCTCTAACCATTAGCGAATCAGTTAGTGCCCACTCACCGACCCCCAGGTCGGCCCACACTATAGCCGGGAAGAGGGAATAGAGTGTTTAGGGGGTTCTGGGGAGGGCCTGCTCCAGAAATCTGGGGGCCACTTGTGACTAGAGTTTTACTGTCTGCTTTTGGCCGCACGGTGGGAGGGGCTGGACCAGAACTGAGGATAATAAAGGCAAGGACCCTCCAAACGAGGATTTGGCCAACCCGAAGCCTCACATCCTGCCCTTTCCCAAGACCACTACAAGGTCTCCTGTCTTCCTCACAGGTTTGCATCCTTAAGTCTTGGTTCACGGTCCTCCCTTTGCCTGGGTTATCCTGTCCTTTCTCTCCACTCATCCTTCTAAGGTTATATACGTTCATCCTCCCTCAGGAATTCCTGGATTCTCCCGTGGGCCTCATCTCTGAGCTCCCAAGCACAGCCCTGTATTTTGAGCCTCCATTTGTCACCTTGTGTGGGCCCACTGGTGGTCTGAGTCCTCTTGTTAGTCTGTGGCCTCCTACTACAGGGACAAAGCACATAGTAGGGCCACAGACAACGTTTGCCAAATTAAAAGAGGCTGGGCATTCTGGCCAAAGGCACATGCCTAGGTTTCGGGCTCGATCCCCAATAAGGGGTGTGCAGGAGGCATCCAATCAGTGATTCTGAAATCAATAAAAGAGGCTGGGCAGAGCGATCGAGTCTGTCCTCAGGGGTCCCCCAGCTTCTTGGAAAGTTGTACCCTAAATCTAACACAACCCATCCGGATCCCCTGGCTGTCCCTGGTCGTTTTCTCCTTGTATGTTTGTGGGATCAGGAAGGATTCCCCCAGCTGGACCCCCACCCTGAGGTTGCCCACCCAAAAAAGCAGCTTTCCCGACCGTCCACACACAAAAGCACGCGGTCACACGGGCCGTGGGTCCAGGGTTTTATGTGGGACAGGAGGAGGGGGCGCCCAGGCCGGCCGGCCGGCTAGTCACCCTTGGGCGCAGCCTTCACCCGCATCTCGGCCAGCTTGTGGGTGAGGAAGCCCCACTTGAAGTCGGCCGCCGAGTCGGTCTCCCGCGGCCCGGGCTGCTCGGCCGCCTCCTCCGCGGCCTCCTCGCCGGCCTCGGCCTCGGGGTCCCGCTCCGGGGCGGGCTCGGCGCCGCGCAGCATGGACGCCGCGGCCGCCTGCTGCTGCTGCCACCTGCTGGCGAAGGCGTCCCAGAAGCCGAGCCCCCGCGGCTGGGGCTGCGCCGCCGCCTCCGCCTCCGCCTCCGCCTCCGCGGCCGCGGCCGCCTGCGCCGCCAGCGGGCTGCAAGACACCGGGGTCAGAGGGCAGAGGCGGCGGGAGTCCGGCCGCGGAGGGAGAAGGGGAGGCGGGGTCCGGGGCCAGTAACGGAGCCGGGACCGGGGGTGGGAGGGTAGGGGGGTGCGGAGGAGAGGAGGGGGTTCCTGGGGACTGGAGGGGCCCGGGAGACGGGCCAGGTCAGGGTGTGGAGACCAGGGGAGGCTCAGGCGTCCCGCGAAGGGGGGCTGGTGGGGCAGGGTCTCGGGATAAGGAAAGTGACTGGGGCGAGGCCCGAGGAGGAAAGCCCAAGAGGCGCCAGGTCTGGGAAGGTGGGGCCGGCGCCCTGAGAAAGGGGCAGGGCCAAGAATTCGAGCGAGTGGCTAGGGACCGGGGAGGGAGATCCCGGAAAGGAACGGGTCCGGGAAGCCGTGGTGAGGAAAGCCTAGGTGGGCCCTGGGGACCCAGGCGGGTGGGGACTGGGGTCAGGCTCTGGGCTGGGAGTGAAGGGGGACCAGCAAAATGAGGGAACACGGGAGAAGGACGGGTGGAGAGACCCCAAGGGAAGGAGAAATGTCTAAATCGGAGGCTCAGGGGAGGGGGGACTTGGGAGGTAGCCCGGAAATGTGGGGGAAGAGTAATCAAGGAGCGGGGGATGCGGCTTGAGGAGGTCTGGGGGAGCCCCTACAAGAGCTGGGCAGTAGAGGAGATACGTGTGGGGACAAGAGCTGGGAGGGTGAGGGGACCTAGGGGAGGAAGGAATATGGGAATGTCAGACTGGGCTGGAGGAAGGGGTGGAGGTGCAGGGTGTGCCAGAGAGAGAGCTGGGAGGGAGACTGAGGCCTGGGTCCTGCCCCCTAACCCTCCAGCACCCAAGACCCACAAGACTGGTTGCTAAACTAGAGTGCCTCAGATCCTTCCAGCTTGCAGAAATCCAGATCCCAGGCCTCAGCCCACACCTGCTGAATCCGAATCTTTGAAGAGTCTGGGAATGTGTTTGTCACAAATCCCCGAGGAGGAAGAGTTTAGACCAGTATTTGGGAATCACTGATCGGGACCACCCTCTGCTCCAAACACCCAAAGGTTCTCTGCTCAGTTCCCTGACTCTAGGGAGATGACCCCTCCCACGTGGACGGAGAGAGAGCGCGGCCTTCTAGCGCCTCAATCCCAACATTTGGTAAATTCCTCCTGTAAGCTAACCTAATCTCCCAGAGATGCTGATTTGGCCTCTTTCCTGCTAAGAGAAGCAGAAAGAGGGGCGGGGGGTTGCCCCTTCCCAGCCCTCCGTGGTCAGAAACACAAACTGACCATTTGGAAAGGCCATAGAGAAGGCCACCCCAGGCCCATCCCAGAGCCTCCCGCTCCCCCTCCCCCTCCCCCTCCCCCTCCCCCGCACACACGCACATACTGGTCAGCACAGGGCTCCGGGGGCAGCAGCTTGTCCTCATCTTCTTTGTTAAACAGAGATGACATTGTCAGCCAGCCTTTCACTCCGACCCCCTGAACCTGGGAGGGAGGCCTGGGAGTCATTGAGGGGCCACAGCACCCCCTCCCAGGACCCCACAGCAGCCTCTTCCGGGCCCCCCGGGGCTGGGTTGGAAGAGGGAGAACTCACCCGGCGGGCCAGCTGTGACATGGGATTGAAGGGCTCTGAGGCCGGTTCTGCTGTCTCTGCCTCAGACTCCACTAAAGCTGGGTTCTCCCTCTGGGACACAAAGCCCCCCACCAGCATGAGCGAGGTCCCAAAGGCATAGGAACCCCCTCTCCCACTGCTAGCCTGGTACACCGAGGCCAGGCACCCCAAATTCCACAGAACTGGACATATACCGAGTCTTCGCACGCCCTTCACAAATGCACAGAAGTATTCCTCTAGACAAAGCTACCGGTCACATAAGCTACCTTATAGAAAAATTCCTCCAGAAACACATATGTGCCCGCCCACAGACACATCCATATATGCCCAAAAACATGTGGACATGGGCATGCACATTGATGTAGACACACCTGTGCATGAGCATGCCTCCACATGGCTATCGCTCTTCACTTCTACGTGGCACTGTGCACTGTGAGGCACTTATACAAGGACACACACAATTATACCATTCATACTTGTGCAGAGAGCAGCATAGAGGCCCTCCCACAGCACACAAACCTTTCCACCCACCCACAGACACCAAGATACAGATGTACACACACACACACACACACACCCCGAACAAACAGAACACCGGCCAAACCTGCGCAGAGCCATGCAGGCATAGACTCTGCACAAATGCACACACCTGAAAACACCTATGCCTGGTTCACACCGGCACATGCACCTTCACCGGGGACACCACACAGACACCAATCCTAACCCTGACCACATGCCCAGCCCTGTCTAGACAGACACTAATTCACATACACACACACCACAGAACGCGTTCCTGCCCCTGCCACGTCAGTTTGTGCAATTGTTACTTATCACGGCCGCTAGGTGTAAGACTGTGTCAGAGCCTTTTCAGTTTTGTTGTGTGTGTGTGTGTGTTTTTTTTTCAACGTCAAGATAAACATAGTCCAAGTGTGGCTCTCCCCTGATGCTGTCAGTGACCCTCAAAATAAAAGTGTCACTGTTCCACCGAAACCAGTTTGGCTCAGTGGATAGAGCGTCAGCCTGTGGATTGAAGGGTTCCAGGTTCGGTTCCAGTCAAGGCATGTACCTTGGTTGCAGGCATATCCCCAGTAGGAGGTGTGCAGGAGGCAGCTAATCAGTTTTTCTCTCTCATCAATGTTTCTGGTTCTCTATCTCTCTCCCTTTCTCTCTGTAAAATATGAATAAAATATATATATATTTTAAAAAGTGTCTCTGTTTCTACCTCCAGTACCAGAAGGCTCCACTTCTCCTCAAGGCAAGCCATCCCCCTTCTGTTCAGCTCTGCCCAGCTGTAAGTAAGCTGAGTGTACCTGTGTGGCCACTGCCCACTGGACCCAGAAGGACCTTCTCCCTGTGGCAATCCTGAATACCTCTGGATAAAGTGGCTGTTCCACCAATGTCCCCCAAGTCTTTTCTTCTTGAACATCCTGGCTTTCTGACACTGTACCATGCCATTTGTCATCCTTGAGGGGGCTGATTACTTCTGCACAAACGTACCCCAGCCTCTCTTTCTCTCTGAGCATGCCCCTTGCCCTTCTCTGTACCTGCTCCCCCTCCCCGCCCCACCCAGCAAGCATGGGTGGTACTCACCTCCTCTGCCAGTTCCTCCTCAGATTCCCCACCCAGGGTCTGCAGCACTTTGGATTTGTAGGTTTTCCAGAAGGCCTGGTTCATAGCTGCAGGGGAAATGGGCCTGGCACCCAGGTACAGGGAGGCAGCGGCTCAGTGGGCACCCAGTGGGTCTGGCTTAGGAACTTGGTAAGACCGAGAGCCTGTCCCAGGGATCTGGTGACTTCATTAAAGATGCACCAGCCTCCCCAGCTGGCACAGTGCCCAGCAAGTGATCCAAGGAGTCTAGGGTGGGGGTGGGACAGAGCGGGCTCCTGCCAGCTCGGCCCCTTGCCGTGACCCATATTGGCCAAGCATAATAGCGACATCTCCCCACAGAGGCCTCCTTCCCAGGAGTACTTGAATTTGATCTCTTGGCATGGCTCCAGAAAAGTCCTCTTCTTTCACAGAGTCCATTTCCAAAGTCCTTGGACCCGGGACCCACATTGGCGCCCCTGTGACTAGAGCCATACCTGCTGTGCCGTCAGCAGGGCCCTGCCCTATGTCCCCACTTAGCCTCTGTGAATTGGAGTGGGAAGGTCCCGAGTCCCCCAGGCAGTGCCCTGGGCTTACATTTCACTGCCCTGTCTGGGCTGGAAACCGATTCCTCTCCCCAGGGATGCACGTGCCTGTCTCCCTGTTTCCTGGCAACAGGTTCCAAAGAGCTGAAGCCCCTGAATTATTGCTGAGCTCCTCTGGTCCGCCTGGAAGGCACCAGGCCCAGGTGAGTGGGAAGAGGCTTCTCTGGCCCTCTCCCTACTCTGGAGCACACAACACCTAGGCTGTCTCTCTCTGTGCCTTTGTTGCCAGCCCGCGCATGGCAGTCCAGGGCTCAGAGACAGGGGCAGAGATGGGAGGCCCTCCTGTGAGCAACTCTTCTGTGGAAGGAGCTGATCCCTCTTACGTCAGACACTGCCTGAGCACTGTGATCTCTGGGGAGGAACACCCCTTCCCACCGCCCCACGGATTTGTCTGGGGGTGGATAAGGAGTGGACACCCGAGGGAATAACAGGAGCAGTGAGAAGGGGCAGGGATTTGCCAGGGAATGGAGGTATCTCAGGAAGCCTTATGGAAACCGGAATCCCAAACTTATTCACTCTCATTCATTTATCAATTAACTTCACTGATATTTTTCAGTGCCTCCCAGAGATTCTTAAAACATACCCTTCCTGCCTCAACCGGTTTGGCTCAGTGGATAGAGTGTGGGTCTGCGGACTTAAAGGTCCCAGGTTCGATCCTGGTCAAGGGCACGCATTGGTTGCGGGCACATCCCCAGTAGGGGGTGTGCAGGAGGCAGCTGGTCGGTGTTTCTCTCTCATCGATGTTTCTAACTCTATCTCTCTCCCTTCCTCTTTGTAAAAACAAAAATCAATAAAATATATTAAAAAAAATAAAATAAAAACATGCTCCTCCTCCTCCGCGGAGTCGAAGATGTGGCAAGCAAGAAGGAGATGGGGCCAGAGGATAACGCTGAGAGGTGGTGCAGGACGTGTTGGGCGGGGAAGCGGGACGCCCTGGAACCCCCAAGGACATGCACCTCCCTCCCCTCTCCAGCGGCGCTCCAGGGCCCCCCCACGCCCTCAGGTTGGGATGGCATCGTCAATGGGCTCTGCCGCGGGCACCGTCACTGACACACTTGGCCGCCAGGGGTCGCTCAAGACGCGGTCCGCGCAAGTGACGTCATCAGCGGCAGCCCGGTGGCGCCTGCCCGCCCCCTGGCGTCACCTGACGTCATTTAGAACCCGGAAGCGCGCGCACGTGAGCGTCCTCCGCGGCGCCGGCCGCCGGTCATGGGCCGCTCCCGCCGGACGGGCGCGCACCGGGCGCACTCGCTGGGCCGCCAGATGAAGGCGAAGAGGCGGCGGCCGGACCTGGACGAGATCCACCGCGAGCTGCGGCCCCAGGTTCCCTCACGGCCCCGGCCGGACGCGGATGCCCAGCCAGACCCGGACCTGCCCGGGGGCGGCCTGCACCGCTGCCTGGCCTGCGCGTGAGTCCTGCCGCGCCGCCTCGGGAGGAGGAGGGTCTGTGGTCCGGGCGGGGGTGTGGGGTCCGGGCCCCCGGGCGCGCGGGGTCTGCGGGCCTCCGAGCCCTTCAGACTCAAAGTTTGCGTCTAAGAACTGTGGCTGGGACCGGTTTGGCTCAGTGAATAGAGCGTCGGCCTGCGGACTGGAAGGTCCTGGGTTCGATTACGGTCAAGGGCATGTGCCTTGGTTGCGGGCACAACCCGGTGCGGGGTGTGCAAGAGGCAGCTGGTCGATGTTTCTCTCTCATCGACGTTTCTAGCTATCTCTCTCTTTCTCTCTGTAAAAAATCAATTAAAATATATATATAAAGAACGAGCTGTGGTCAGGGAACTAGACACCTCCGAGAGACATCGTTCCCTGATCACTCTCCTCTTACCCCTCATCCCCTAGGAGGTACTTCATTGATTCTGCCAACCTGAAGACCCACTTCCGGTCCAAAGACCACAAGAAAAGGTATGAAGGAGCGAGGAAGGAGCGAGGAGAGGGTTGAGGGTGGGTGTCTGTTTACAGGGTTCCCATCTGGGCAGCTCCCATCTCCTTTTCTCTCTCCCAGGCTAAAGCAGCTGAGCGTGGAGCCTTACACTCAGGAAGAGGCTGAGAGGGCAGCAGGCATGGGCTCCTATGTGCCCCCCAAGCGGCTGGCAGTGCCCACAGAAGTATCCACGGAGGTCCCTGAGATGGACACGTCGACCTGACATGGCCCGAAGATGCAGGGCAGAGCGGCCGCCCATGGACTGTGATGCAGGGCTAGGCCAGGAGAGACTGTGCCATCCTTCTTTGGCCCTGAATTTCCAAGAGGATGGCCTCTTCTGGGTGCCCTCCCCCTCAAATAAAGGACCTGGATAAAGAGTGCTTGCCTCTGACTCCCTAGCCTCCAGGCCTCCCCCAAACGCCTGCCCCGTAAGGATTTCTCTGCCATTCTTGTGTGCAGCACCCAGGGGGTCTGTTCCCTACTTGGTCCAGCTGTGGAACCCGCATCCTTGCCCGGAGCCACCAGGCAGAGCCCAGGTACAGTGGGGAGGAGGGAGAAGGGGGAGTAGAATCAGATTTAAACGGCTCTGCTTCCAATGAGGGAAGAAATGAAGTGGGACCCCAAGATTGCAGTCCCTGCTGAGTTACCTACCCTCAGGGCCCAGGTGACAGGCTGCCCACTTCGTCACGGGGCCCGTGGCGGTGGCTGTTGTCCCACCATCTTCCAGACGGCATAGCAGGAGCCACCCAGTCCGAGGACAGCCATCAGTGTAGCCACAACCCCCATCAGTGAACACCGGGGCTCTGCCTTCAGCTTCCCGGCTACCTGCATCTGGGGATGTACAGAGGGTCCGCCGGAAGGGTTAGTTGAGGCTTCCAGGAAGGGAAGGGGCTGAGAAGGCACAGCTGGGTGAAGGAGGTACGGCCGCCATGGCTGCCCCAGGGAGATTCCACCCCATTCCCTCTCGCTTCACTGCCCATCTGGGTCCTGGCGGCTCAGGCGGCAGGGAACGTGACCACATTCCCTGGCTGTTGGGGGCCCACCGCCCGGTCACAATATGGGGAGGGAGGGGTCGGTCCCAGAAACCCTGAGTTAGAGGTACTTACCCGTAGCACCCGGAGGTAGCCAGGGGTCAGGCGTGGCAGTCGCATGGGTGCCACCAGTCTCCCTGGCAGCCTGTGGGGTGTAGGCAGAAATGAGCACCAGTGGTACTCTTGGTATGAAGAAGTGGAAAGGTGAGGGCAGTGTGGTTCCTGATCTCTCATAGCCATGCCCTCAGAGGATGCTCACCAGAGTCTGCCCTCCCAGGTCTGTCCAGGCAACTGGACCTATAAATCTGGTCCCTTCCCCCCGCCTGCCCGCCTGCCCTCCCTGCCTTAGGAGCAGCTGTCGGGAGAGATCAGCATCAGGCCTGAGCAGCACCTCCCCCACCCACCGGGCATGCAGGCTGGCAGGCGGCAGAGGCCCTGCTGACAGCACTCAGGCTTCTTAGGCCTGAACCAGGTACTGGGAGGGCCTCTGCAGCCCTGGTCCTGGCCCTTCCCTGCCCAAGGTGATTGGATGTCACCAGTCAGCTCTCAGCAAAGGTAGGAAAGGGTGCCTTACCCCCATCACAACAGTGACACTTTCACTAGATTTGGGTTAGATCGACCACCCCTTGGGAGAGGGCACACATCACCCCTTTCCCCAAGATGGGAGTTCCTGCCAGGAATTCCCTACCCTCAGCTTGAAAACAAGAAAAGATTTGTATATACCGATTTAAAGAGCTATTCTTTTTTAGCACGTTATAGAAAGCAGTATTCTAAGTTTACCTATATTATTTGCATTGATTATCTCATAAAATGAAAAAGGCTTGTTTACAGAATAGTGTATAGATTCATTATCTACATATATAGACAATGCAAGAACACCCAGCAAATGTAGCAGCGGCCCCCACTGCGTAATGGCTAAGGATATGCTGGGGGAAAGGTTCCCCTTTTACCTAATGAACTACTGTTATGTAATGACCTTTGAAATTTTTACAGCAAATGTGTAGAAAGAACTTTTGTTAAACTCTTAACTTCAAAGTAGTTGCTGCCCTAGCCGGTTTGGCTCAGTGGATAGAGCGTCAGCCTGCAGACTGAAGGGTCCCAGGTTTGATTGTGGTCAAGGGCACATGCGCAGGTTTCGGGCTTGATCCCCAGGAGGCAGCTGATCAATGTTTCTCATCATTGATGTTTCTATCTCTCCCTTCCTTTCTGAAATCAATTTATATATTAAAAGAAAAAGAAGAAGCTGCCCTTCATTACACCCCTAAGTGCCTACTCATGCCAGGTGCTAGGGGCACAGAGTATAGACACTATTGTGGTTATTAGGACCCTGTCCTAGGGGAATACATGGATACAAGTGGTGAGTTCTTGACTGTTTCTCCCCTACAGGTTTGTGAGTTCAGGCAGGGCAGAGGCTGGCTGGCTTCTCACTTTCTATGTCTTTTGCTATCTCAGGGGAGGTGTTTGATGACATTAGGATGGTGGAGATGGGTCTGTTTTTTAGGCTTTCCCAGACTGCCATAGGGAGACTATTGTAGGAAGGAAGAGAGGAAAAAGTAAAACATTAAAGTAGGACTCGGCATGGAAGAGGGTTGGAGGGGACACAGTGCAGGGTGTGAGAATGTGAGTTGAAGGACAAAGTCAGAGAGGTGAGGGCCATGTGGCAAATCTGAAGCCTACCGGTTCACAAATGAGGGAGCTATTCCTGCGGGGACCTCATGAGATGGGCGGAGAGGGCTGTTATTGACCCATTTTCAGAAGCAGAAACTGAGCCAGGGAGTCCCCTTTGAAGGAAGCAACTGATGGCCTGTACTTGTGTTTGATGCCACTTGTCAAGAAGGGATGGGGTCAGCAGAGCTAGCCAAGTTCCATAGAACTCAATTTGTATGTGAAATTGTTTATTTTTAATATATTTTATTGATTTTTTTTTACAGAGAGGAAGGGAGAGGGATAGAGAGTTAGAAACATCGGTGAGAGAGAAACATAGATCAGCTGCCTCCTGCACACATCTACTGGGTATGTGCCTGCAACCAAGGTACATGCCCTTGACCAGAATCAAATCTGGGACCTTTCAGTCCACAGGCCGATGTTCTATCCACTGAGCCAAACCCATTAGGGCTGTATGTGAAATTATTAAATGGCCCTAGCTGGTTTGGCTCAGTGGATAGAGTGTTGGCCTATTGAACTGAAGGGTCCCAGGTTCGATTCCAGTCAAGGGCACATGCCTGAGTTGCAGGCTCAATCCCAGTAGGGGGCTTGCAGAAGGCAGCTGATCAATGATTCTCTCTCATCGTTGCTGTTTCTATCTCTCCCTCTTCCTTCCTCTCTGAAATCAATAAAAAAAAATACTTTAAAAAAATTATTAAATGATGGCAACACACACACACACCACAGACCAAATTCAGACTTTAGGTTTTGTTAACAGGCAAATAGTAATGGGCTTTGAAGGCTATTTGTGGGGCACTGGTAGAGATTTCAAATTAGGTGGCTCAATCAAAGGGGTAGGCTCTAGGAAGGCCTCCTTGTAAAATTAAAACTCTACTTCATGTTATAGATTTCAAAATACTTAAAGGACCCCTCTCAGCACTAAGGTCTAGGTGTTCCCCTTTTAGAGAAGAAATAAGTTCAGAGATGGGTAGAGTTTGGGCCCAGTCACACAGCAAGTGCAACTGGGTCTGATTCCAAAGTCCTGGGAGTCTGTTGGCTGGCTGTGCTGATAATGATAACTGCAACATTTAGTACATTTCAGATGTTCTAAGACAGTGTTTCCCAAGCTTTTGACATATGTGTACCCCTTCTATAATTTTCGTAATGCTGAGTACCTCTCGTACTCATGAGAATGTAGAATTAGGCGCAGCTAAGCACGGTGCAGTGCATATCCCCACCAAACTCCGGTGCAACGCGTACCCCCACCAAACTCGTCCCGTACCCCTGAGGGTATGCGTACCACACTTTGGGAAACACTGTTCTAAGAGAAGGCTCTTAACCTGGGCTTTAGAATCCAGGGATCCCAGAAACTTGGAGAGATATTTATAAAAAAAAATATTTATTTTCACTAATATCTAATCAAAATTTGGCATTTCCTTCCATATGGATTAAAGTATTAGCAGTATCTGCGGCTTTGTCACCAATAGAAATCACATAGCCTATATAATAAAGAGGTAATATGCAAATTGACCATCACTCCAACACACAAGATGGCCACCACAAGATGACCTGCAGGGGAGGGCAGTTGTGGGCAATTAGGCCAGCAGGGGAAGGTAGTTGAGAGGGATCAGGCCTGCAAAGGGAGGGCAGTTGGAAGCAATCAGGCCATCAGTTGGGGGTGACTGGGCCATCAGAGGAGGGCAATTGGGGATCACCAGGCTGCAGGAGAGGGCAGTTGGGGGGCACCAGGCCGTCAGGGAAGGATAGTTGGGAGGAACCAGGCCAGCAGGAGAGAGCAATTATAGAGGACCAGGCCATCAAGGGAGGGCAGTTAGGGGTGACCAGGCTGGCAGGGGAGGGCAGTTAGGGGTGACCAAGCTGGCAGGGGATTGGTTAGGGGGTGATCAGGCTGGTAGGCAGGCAAGCAGTTGGGAGCCAGCAGTCCTGGATTGTGAGAGGGATCCAAGATGGGAGAGGGTGCAGGCTGAGCTGAGGGACACACAATTCACCCCTCTACCCCCTGACCATGCACGAATTTTGTGCACCAGGCCTGTAGTATTTTTATAATGAATTGTAGTTAATGCAAGTATCTCAAAATATTTATGCTCATAACTATTTCAAAATCATGATAGTTGCCCTTGCTGGTGTGGCTCGGTTGGTTGGGTGTCATTCCTTGCACACTGAAAGGTTGCCAATTTGATTCCTGGTCAGGGCACATGGTTGGATTTTGGGCTCAAACCCTGATAGGGAGGCAGCCAATCAATGTTTCATTCTCACATCAATGTTTCTCTCTCCCTCTTTTTCTAAAAAGCCAATAAAAATATTTTAAATTATGATCGTTATTAACCCACTGTTCAATCACACTGTTTCAGGAGACTCTTGCAACATAGCTGCCGTAGATTGGGCACCGCCGAGCCACATCGGCCGGGCTTCAGCCCCTTTTTGAGGAGCCTAAAGGTCCACGTCCCCCCCTGTGAAGCCAGTTTGGGGCTGGGCCCCAGGCGGACTCAGAGGTCACAGGGGTTACACCCCAGTGGCACCGCCCTCCCATCCGGCGCCCAGCAGCCCGGGCACAGCCTGAAGGGCGGGCAGGAGGCCGGCGGCGGTGGGCCAATGGCTGGCTGCGCGCCTCACCTGGCCAACCACGTGGGCCCAGGTAAGCTGGCGGCCCCGCCTCGCCCTGCCCCGCCCCTCCCCTCCCCTCCCCACCCCACCCCTGGGCTCGGGAGCGGAAATTCCTGCGCCCGCGGGACGGAGCGGGCACAGATCCCTGGATCCCTTCGGGCGGGCGGACTGCACTCACCATGGAGCCTGTAGAGACCTGGACCCCCGGGAAGGTGGCGGCCTGGCTGCGAGGTGGGTGGGGCCGGGCAGAGTTGGGCGGGAGGGGCGCTGGGGCCGGGGGAGGTAAATAAAGGAAAAGGCCTGCTGAGGCTGTCAGGTGGCCAGGCTGTCAGAGAGTGGATTAGCGTCTCCCTGGGATCTGGAACTGGGCGACTGTGCAGGCAGAGGTGAGCCCCGCGGCCGAGGAGCCAGAAGGGTCTCCCATTGCCCCACCGTCCCGAGAGGCTGCGGGGGAGGCGATGGAGAGGCGGCGGGGAATGCAAACAGAGGGGGTGGCCCCAGGGCGTAGAGGGCTGTTATTAAACCCATTTTTCTGAAGCGGAAACTGACGCGCTGAGCCAGGAAGTGATTTGCTCTGGCTTTGGAATAGAGCCTGCCCTGTTTCCCTCTTTCCACCCTGAGGCTCCCAGTGTGAAGCAGAGCCCTAACCCGATGCAAGTTTGGCACAGTCCTCCTCCTCACCCCCCCCCCCCCCCGCTTGTGCCCAGGGGTCTCCAAGGGAGATACCCCTCAGGCTCAGTGAGCCCAAATGGAGGGGAAAGTCCCGGATGCCCCACAGACTCAGAGAAGTGGAGATCTCTGACGTGCAGGTGGGAGGGGCAGGTGAGTCAGGGCAGGTGAGTTTCTCCTAGAGGGGCAGCATGAGTACACCAGGGTCAGGTTCAGGGTGACTAACCCTATAACAGCAGGATTCAGGGTTGAATTCAGACTCCCAGACTGAAACTCCCAGGGTTTCTGGCCCAGCCCCTCCGCTCACCAGTTCTGTGACCATAGGATTTCGTTTCCCTCTCCATAAAATGAGAACGGCGCCTCACGTGTCATGAAGCGCACAGAATGAGACGATCCTGACAAGTGCCTGGGATGTGTAGGTAGCTCAGTGTAGGAGGCAGCACAGCACATCCATTGTACCTGGCAATTTGCTCAAGGGCCCATAGCTATGGAGTAACAGTTTGCTCACTCTTTGAAGGCATTCCTCCCATTCAAGCAAGCCAGTTCCTTCCCAGGAGTTCCCATGAACTCCTGTCCAGTGCTCTTAAGTGTCACCCCGGAAACGAGAGAGAGCTGCCAATCACACACACGGGGTCTCCAGGGGAGGAGCCTGGCTTGCTTGAATGGGAGGAATTCCTTCAAAGAGTGAGCAAACTGTTCACCTCTGTTTGCATCCGTTTTCCCACCTGTAAAATGGGCATGACAGTAGTCTCTGCATTCTAGATTTGGTGAGGATCAAATTCTGAATATGTTTATTTTTAATTAATTAATTATTTAGTTAATTAATTATTTTTAACCCTTGATTGAAGAATGGACCTCTTTTCTATTGGGGAAGGTCATCCTCTTCGAACATGCAGCTTTGGGAGGGACGCACAAGGAGTGGAGGGAGGGATGCACAAGGAGTGGAGGGAGGGAGTGTCTAGTCAGCCAGATCACTGAGCCGACCCTGGGGATCAATGGGGTGACAGATGTGACTGCCAGCTCACCTTCATATCCTAAGTGTGTTTACAGCTCTTAAAATTTTGCTCAGCTCATAGTAAGCATTCAGTAAACAGTCTTCTCATTTGTGCCAGGCAAGGGCGGGAATGAGAGATGAACAGTTATTAAGGCCCCTGCTTGAAGAGCTTTTGATAAAGTGGGAGAGGCTGGTGCTCAGCTGCAGGTGTTTCTGGAGGCACAGCAAGCAGTGGGAGCAGAAGAGGCCCCGCCCCAACCTGGAGAGCTGGGGAGCACTTCCTGCAGGAGTTAAATGAAAAGGGAGGGGAGGAGCTGGAAGTGCAGTCCAGGCAGGGGGAGTAGCACCTGCAGGGTCCCTGGGACAGAAGCACAGCCAGGGAGTTAGTGTCTGTATCTGAAGTGTCGAGCTTGAGGGGCTGTGGCAAGCGATGAGGCTGGTGAGGCACGGGGTAGCCCAATCCTCGCGGGCCTTGTAGACCATGGGCAAAGCTCTGGCCATAAGTGCTGTTTCTGATGGTCTCCCACCGTGGTCGGCAAACTGCAGCGCGCAAGCCACATGCGGCTCTTTGGCCCTGTGAGTGTGGCTCTTCCACAAAATACCATGGCCTGGCCGAGTCTATTTTGAAGAAGTGGCGTTAGAAGTTTAAGTTTAAAACTTTTGGCTCTCAAAAGAAATTTCAATCGTTGTACTGTGGATATTTGGCTCTGTTGACTAATGAGTTTGCCGACCACTGGTCTACCATAAGCCAGGAAATGGGCCAAGTGTTTGACATGTATCGTGTCATTTACACATGATTAGAAGGTAGATGCTTTTATTGTCACCATTTACAGGTTAGGAAACTGAGGCTCAGAGCAATTAAATTACTTGCTCCAGTGCTGACCTTCAAGCCTTCCTGATACCAAAGCTCCATCCATGTTCTTACTCCCCATTTATAATAGTAGACAAGCAAGCATCAGAACAACTGGAGGATTTGTTGAAACCAGAACTACTAGGCCCTACCCCTGAGTTATTTAGCAGGTGCAGGATAGAGCCAAAAACTTGCATTTCTAGCTCTCCAGTGAGGCTGCTGCTGGTCTGGGGAAACTATCCTACTTCTCAACTCGGTAGTCTCATCTGTGAAATGGGCAGAACACAGCCTAGGTCTCAGGGTTGTTATTAGGAACAGATGGGAGGGAAGGAGGCTTTCTGGGAGTGAAGATGTGGCCAGAAAGGCTCCCCCATGCCGACCCCTGCTGTCCCTCCAGGCCTCGATGATTGCCTGCAGGATTACTGCTTTGAGGACTGGAAACTGCCTGGCAAGTACCTGCTGCAGCTCTGCCCCCGCAGCCTTGAGGCTCTGGCCGTGCGCCCCGTGGGCCACCAGGAGCTCATCCTGGAAGGGGTGGAACAGCTCCGGGCCCTGGTGAGTGAATGGTGGCCACACCGGCCGCAGCTCCCACCCACCTGGGGGTGTCTGACGGGCTGGCCATCGCCAGGGGTTGACCAGCTCCCTCTCTGGCGCAGAGTTCTGGGCTACAGACAGAGAACCTGCAGAGCCTGACCGAGAGGCTGCTGGACGGGACCGGTGTCTTCCAGAGCTCAGTCCGAGGCCGCCTGGGGGGCTGCGCCGAGCCCCCTGCTTATGTCCTCAGCGCGGCTGTGGAGCTGGTGCGTGAGGCCCGGACCCTCCTCTTCTGGCTCAACAGGTACCTCAGGCTCCTCCTAACGTATGGGGTTCGGGTGACTGATGGGGGCACCCTTCTCATCCTTGGCCTCCCAGGAAAGAAAAACAGGCTTGGCTCTTGCTCAGATATGGTGGTGCGGGGCAAGAAGGTTGGTTGGTCTGCTTGGGGGCACTGGGTCGCCTGGGTTCCTACCCGCCCCACCCGCCCAGCTTGTAGTGACAGCGGCCATCAACAACTGCCTAGAGGGTATGTATGGGAGGGGGTGGGCAATGTTAAAATATGTACACAGATAATAATTTAATAAAAATTAAAAAAGGAGGAGAAAAGACAAAAAACAAAACAAAACAAAACAAAAAACACACAACTGCAGAGAGAGCTCCTCCCCTCCGCTGGCTGCCGCTTGTCCCTCAGGTCCCCGCAGAAGTGTCCCCTCCTCAGGGAAGCCTTCCCTGCTATATAGTCTCAGCTCCCTGCCCTTCACAGCAGTTGCAGTTAAATCATTATTGATGGAATTATCTATTTAACTCCTGACTCCCCCAGTGCCTAAACAGAGCCTGACGGTATTAGGTGCTGTGGTAAGCCCATCAGAGTAGGTATTATCCCGTCTCAGATGAGTAGTTGGCTCTGAGTGGTCTGTGAATTGACTGTTAAGCATGGTTTGCTAACCACTGCTCCATCCTTCCCCCCGCCAGGTACCTCTTCACCCACTTGAATGACTTCTCGGCCTGCCAGGAGATTGGGGAGCTGTGCCGGAAGCTGGGCCTGGCCTTGCAGGAGGTAGGAGGACCAGGGGCCAGGTTTGGCCCAGGCTGTAGAGACAGGTCAAGCACCTGTGAATCAGCACAAGATCGGGTGTGAGGGCAGGAAGAGGCAAGAGCAGGAAGAGAGGTGCCTAGCCACTGGGTAGGTTGGCCAGGCCACCCCCAGGAGTTTGACTCTCAGGAGGGGGTGGAGAAGGCATATGTGGTGACTGCTGGGGGCCTGGTGTCAGGGGGAGACCTTGGGGACAGAGCTCTGTGGCCCTGTAGTTCTGGAAAGGGGTCAGGGAGTGGAGGCGGGGAGGGACTGCTGGGAACCCGCCCCGCCCTCCAGAGAAGGCAGTGCCCCTGCTCAGGGAAGGCCCTGCTCTCACTGCTTCCAGGACTGCCCGGCAGCGGAGAGGGAGAGCCAAGTCCTGAGGATCGTAAGTGTGTGTGTGTGTGTGTGTGTGTGTGTGTGTGTGTGTTTGGGGGGTGGGCAGTAATGGGGCTAGGGTGCGGTGAGTGGGGCTCAGTCTGGGCATTGTGCTCCCCACCCCAGTGCAGCCACATGACCGGGATCTGCCACAGCATTCTGAGCTGCAGCCCCCAGGAGCTTCTGGAGCAGAGGGCCGTGCTGGAACACGTGCAGCTGGATGATCCTCTGGTGAGCTCTGACCTCTGACCTCTGACCTCCTGCCTTTTCTTTTTCAATTTTATTGGTGTGTTTTTAAAGAGAGAAACATTGATTTGTTGTTCTACTTATGTACGCATTTATTGTTTGCTTTCTGTATGTGCCCTGACCAGGGATTGAACCCGCAATCTTGGCATATTGGCACAGCACTCCCACCAACTGAGCTCCGGCCAGGGCTTTCTTCTCACCTATTGGCAGCCTGGCCTGGGCCCCGAGACATGGCTCCAGGATCCCATGGGTTCCTGAACTGCTATGGCTAGAAGGCCTTTTTTTTTTTTTTGGACAGAAGAACCAAAAAAAGAAAAGAGAAAAATGCCTAGAGGACTTTCCTGGGGTCCCATAGCATTCAGCACCTTCTCCAATCCTCACATGACACATTCTAACCCTGAGATACAGACCTGGAAGGTTAGGGGAGAGGACATGAACGTTTCTGCTTTAACCTCTCCCGTTGGGAAAGCCAGAGGGAAAACCAGAGCCCAGCGCTGCCCCTGCCTGCCCATCCCTGCTCATCCCTTAGGGGAGGCGCTGAGAATGTCACACCTGAGGGGTCAGCCGCCCCACCTTCCCTCTGATCCTATGAAGGGAAGAGGCAGAGACCCGCAGAGGAGTGACAAGCCCGAAGTCACACAGCAAGCTGGGCAGTGCCAGCTCTTTCCCCAGTCCTTCCCACCCAAGGACTCTGTTGCCTGGTGGGGGGCCCTGCCCACTGGCCCTGCCGCCCCCGCCCCCGCGGTGACTCCAGCCTCTGCTTTCACAGGGCCTGGAAATCCACACCACCAGCAACTGCCTGCACTTCGTGTCCCAGGTGGGCACCCAGGTGAGAACCCCATACCCTTTCAGCCGCCCACCCCCTGAGGCCCTTTCACCAGCAGCCAAGCCGGCTCCAGGCCCCAGAGGTGCCCCCTCTGAGCCTCACCTCCCACACCAGGTTCCTCCCAACTCGCGGCTGCAGATCCTGCCTGGAGATGAGATTGTCCAGGTCAACGAGCAGGTGGTGGTGAGTGAGAACCAGAGCGACATGGTGGGAGCGAAGGGGTGACCGGATAGAACCCAGGGCTGTGGGTCAGGCAGGGTCTCTTGCCGAGACCAGGGTTGTGGGAGATGCCTTACACCAGAGTGGCCTTAGCAGAGCCAAGCTGAAGGGCTCATGGAGGCTTCCTGAAGGAGGAAGTGGAGGTGGAAGTGGAGGTGGAGGAGGAGGAGGAGGAGGAGAAGGAAGAGGAGAAGGAAGAGGAGGAGGAGGAGAACCAGGAGGCTGAGAGAGTGCTCCAAGGGAGGGGGCTGTTGGGTTGTTTTAGAGCCTCCTGCCCAGCTGACCCAGCCCCGTGTCCCTGTCCCACCCCCCAGGTGGGCTGGCCCCATAAGAATGTGGTGAGGGAGCTGTTTCGGGAACCAGCCAAGGTCAGCTTAGTGCTGAAGAAGGTTCCGGTGCCAGAGACACCTCCACAGGTACCTGTCCCCTGACCTACCCTCAGCCGCTTTCAGATTCCTGTTGCCACTGAATCACCTGCTTCTGGTTGTTCCCAGTCCCCTCCGCAGGCCCTGGGCTCCCCACAGCCGAGAGTCCCATCGCTGGCTCTGGGCCCACTGTCTCCCAGGTAACAGGCTCTGCCCTGGGTGCGTCTAGTGGGGGAGGCATGGGCTCATCTCATCTCTCCTTACTCTCCCTTCATCTCCCCTCACTCTCCTCTCCCCAGGGCCACATCTGAAGACATCTTTCCCTTCAGCCTGACTTCAAACCCAAGCCCTGGGTCCAGCCCTGCCTCAACAGGTGGTTTCAAAGTCCCACAATGTGGTGATGCCCTAGGAAAGACATGTGGGGTGCCTGGCTCTGACCCCTGGACCCTGATGCCCCCACCCTACTGCCCGGCCTGGACTGGGCTCATGGACTCCCCTCTCTTCTCCTTCCCTGACAGACTCTGCCTCTCTTGACCCTGAGCCCCTGCCCGTCACCCCTGCACCCCCAGCCACACTCCCAACAGGGGGAGCAGAGACTCCTGAACCCCTAGAAGACAAGGTAAGCTGAGGGGCTCAGCAAGGAGGGGTGTGATTCCAATCCAGACCCTTCTCTAACCCGCTGTGGTCCTTTCAGAGTCCTGTCCATGATCGGAAGAAATCGAAAGGTATGAGATGCACCCAACGTGTGGGGGTCCCCTGACGTGAGCAGCTCTAAGAAGTCTTTATAGTGCCTGGCAGGAATTCCTCCCCCCTCACACACACACACACACACACACACTTTACACTCAGCCCCTCGGGAAAGAGCTGTTTCTTGATCAGACAGACCTGTGCTCCCAGCGCTCTGAGACTGAGCTAACAGCCTATCCTCCGTTCTTTAATTTCCTCGCCTCCACAATGCGGAGAGTCACAGAGCCGACAGGTGGTTCATTCCAAGCACAGAGTATGGGTTCAGACATATCAGGGGGCGCTCTCCTGGTGGTCGGATTTGGGGGTCCCTCACTGATGCCCGGGCTGTGCTGCTGCAGGCGTGGCGACGCGGCTGAGCCGCCGGCGGGTGTCCTGCCGGGAGCTGGGCCAGCCAGACTGCGACGGCTGGCTGCTGCTGCGCAAGGTGCCCGGGGGCTTCATGGGCCCCCGCTGGCGCCGCTGCTGGTTTGTGCTCAAGAGACACAAGCTCTACTGGTACCGCCAGCCCCAGGTGAGACCCCACACCCCTGTGGAAGCAGATGGGTCACCCCAGGGCCACAGTTCCTGTCCCCACCATCTCCTCCCACTGCGGTCCCAGGTGGTCCACAGACCCTCATGTGATAGCCTCAGTGTTAATGGGGACACGCTTCAGAGAGGAATGAGCTGCTATGTGTTGAAAAGCACCTTTCCTTCCTCTTCTGTTGTTCTGTCCATCCTAGTGATAGGCCATTCATTCCTCAGCAAACACTGTCACTCAGCTCTGGGCTGGGCACCGAGGACACAGGGGAGACTGGGACACTGGGGAGTTCTTGCTACTCCAGGCTGGGGTGGGGGGAGGGTGAATACACGCTCAAGGACAGTGCAGGGAACACACGCTGTGACAAAGGAAAAGCCCAGGGAATGGGGGGCTGGGTGGGGAGCCCACAGAGGTGGCCAGTCCAGCCTGAGGCCTGGCGCAGGCTCCTGGGAAGTCAGCACCTGAGGGCCAGTCAGGCGGAAGGAGAAAGCGGCCAGAGGGAGGGCCCGGTGGCACGAGGTGGCTTCCCCTGTGCCTATTGACGGAGCAAATGTGGGCTCAGCCTCCTCTTTTGAGGCTGTTTCTCTGGATCTCCTTGGCTCCCCTTTCCTGGCTCAAAGGCACTCGGTGATCACACCCTCTGCACACACACCCCCCCCCCTCCCCAAATGTCTGCCCTGAGCTCCCGGCACCGAGAGGTTTGTGGTCGGAGAGCCCAGCAGATGCCCCTGTGTTGTGGCTTTGTGCTGACCTCACTGTGATCCCCCAGGATGAGAAGGCTGAAGGCCTCATCAATGTCTCCAACTACAGTCTGGAAAGTGGGCATGATCAGAAGAAAAAATAGTTAAGTCCTGGTTGTGACGGGCTGGGCGGTGGGAAGAGAACGGGAGAGACGGGGTGGCGGTAGGGGCAGGGTGGAGACGGCAGGGAGCTGGGATTGCGGTGCGGCCTCTCCGGGTTCTAGATGGGCCCTCTGCTCCCCGGCAGTGTGTTCCAGCTCACCCATGACGTGTACAAACCCTTCATCTTCGCTACCGATACCCTGGCGGACCTGAGCATGTGAGTGCCACCCTCTCCACTCCCAGGCTTTCACGGGATCCTGAATTCAAATCCCAGCTCTCTGATAGTGGTCGATCAAGGCACTCACTTCCTAACCCTCTGTTTCATTATCTGTAAAATGGGCTAACAAGAGTTCCTACCTCTCAGAGTTGCTCTGAAAATTAGATTAGACCAGTGGTCAGCAAACTCATTAGTCAACAGAGCCGAATATCAACACTACGACGATTGAAATTTCTTTGGAGAGCCACATTTTTTTAAACTTAAACTTCTTCTAACGCCACTTCTTCAAAATAGACTCGCCCCGGCCATAATATTTTGTGGAAGAGCCACACTCAAAGGGCCAAAGAGCCACATTGGCTCACGAGCCTCAGTTTGCCGACCACAAGATTAGATGATCATATAGGGGAAAGGCCCTTGGCATACAGCACCTGGAAACTCCCTCAGACCCATTTGCCCTCCGCAGGTGGGTGCGCCACCTCATCACCTGCATTTCCAAGTACCAGTCTCCAGGCCAGGCCGCCCCGCCCCGAGAGGAAGGTGGGTGTTCGCGGGGTGGGTCTCCCTGTGTCTCACCCGAGCTTCTGCCTTTCCTGGGATGGAGGCTGGGGGCTCAAATGTCCTCCCCCCTTCCCGGCCCCCCAAAACCCTGTGAAGCTTATTGGGTTCCCCAACTGTCACCCCAGACTGCTACAGCGAAACAGAAGTGGAAGACCTTGACGATGAGGCTGGGTCCCGCTCAGCCTCGGTGAGTCAGGGACTGGTGGGGGGTGGGCAGCAGGGCACAGAGCTCAGACTGATACCTTTCTCTCCTTTCCCGGTGCCCACAGCCCAGCCAGGGCCACGCTGGGAGTCCCCCCCGGGGAGACGCATCCCCTGCAGCCACCCCCATGCAGGGCAGCCCACGGACCTCCTTTGGCCTCCCAACAGGTGCCGTGCTGGGGGCGGGAGCTGAGGTGGAGAGTTGGGCCTGGGACAGGCACATCCTCATCCTTCTTCTCCCCCCCTCCCCCCGGCCCCACAGACAGCAGCGAGGGGACATTGGAAGGAATGGTGCGGGGGCTGAGGCAGGGCGGCGTGTCCCTCCTGGGCCAGCCGCAGCCCCTCACCCATGAACAATGGCGGAGCTCTTTCATGCGGCGCAACCGAGATCCCCAGCTCAACGAGCGAGCGCACCGTGTGCGGGCCCTGCAGAGCACGCTCAAGGTCAGTGGGCACTGGGCGTGGCAGAGGGCTGGGCTCTACGCCTTTGGCTCTGGTTGCTGGCCCGCAGCTCTGGACTCGGTTGTGGAGTGGGCCAAGTTCTAGGTTCCTGATTTGAGAACCAGGGCTAGACGGGTCCGGGGCCGTGTTCTAGGCACTAGACTCCAAAATTAGCTCGGGGCTCAGGCTCTGCCTCCCGCCCTGGGCGATCATGGCCCCTAAGGGACTCCCCTTACAGGCCAAGCTGCAGGAGCTGCAGGCCCTGGAAGAAGTGCTGGGCGACCCTGAGCTGACGGGAGAGAAGTTCCGACGGTGGAAAGAGCAGAACCAGGAGCTCTACTCAGAGGGCCTGGGGGCCTGGGGAGTGGAGCAGGCTGAGAGCAGCCCCCAGGTCCAGACCTCTGTCTCCAAAGAACATTCTGCCCGCCCCCCGTCCTCTGACTCCGAGGAACACTCCCATCTTTGCCACCTGACCCGAGAGAACAACCTCTGACCCTGACCAGCATCTAGTTCCTGACCTCTGGCCCTGAGGACCACCTCCGCTGGCATGTCTAGGACTGAGCGTCCTTGTGTTCTGTGCAAGGTTGGAAGTAGGAGGGGTCCATGGCTTTACCCCAGCGGACCCCCTCCTGCCTGAGCGGCCACCATTTCTGCCCCCTTCTCCCCTGGAGTGGGGTAATGTAATGAGATCTCAGTGCCACTCTCTCCCACTTGGCAACAGAAAAATGAGAGGCAAGGCTACAAGAAACTCCCTCCTGTCTGCCCTCTGATCGGTGGGGGCACACACCTGCCTCCCTCCGTCCTCTGGCACTTCTTCCTCCCCAAACCGGTCTGTACAGGCCTTCCTCGCGTTACACAAGAGACACTTCAGCCAAATAAAGCCAATTTTTCTACAGTGAACCCACATCTGTGCTTGACTTCCATACTAGCTTCGGGAATTGGCTCCCCAGGGGGACTGGGGTGAAAAGCTGTCAGACAGGGGTGAGCGCTCTTGGTCACCAGCCCACTGGCCGGGGCTGTGCGTGAAGCTCTTGACCACCAGGAGGAGGATTGCTAATCTGTGCCTCATGGGGGCTTCTACTCGTGCTCATCTGTCCCAGTCCTTTAGACCAGAGGTTTGCTTTCCTGTCCCATCCCAGGGGAGACAGAGTGGAAAACAGAGACCAGCCTTTCCCTAGATGGAGCACCTACCTTGCATGAAGGGCAGGGCGGGCTCCTGGAGGCCAGGGTAGTGAGATGGCATAGCCAGAGGGGAGAGATGCCGATTGCCGGTTGTCTCAGCTAGGAGGAAGGCCCTGAGGTGAACATTCTTTTCCTCTCCTCAGCCCAGTGTCGCCTCCAGCTCCTGGATTTGGAGTAGGGACACACTCCCCTCCATCCAGGTTGTAGAGGAGACCTGACCTGCTCTGTCAGCCTCTGACCTCTGACCCCAGCCAAGGTCCTTCGTGTCCCTGGCTTTCTCGGTGGGATGTCAAGGGAGTTCAGTGGCAGGAACTCCTCTCGAGACTGGAATTCCTTGGTGGAATGCAAATGGCTGGAGTCACAGAGGCCTCTATGATATCACCACGAGGGGGAGCAAGACGGCACGGAATAAAGTTTCTTTGCCGCGTAGGAGGAGACTGAGCAACGATGGCGACGGATAACCTATGGAAGAGAAGGACTATCAAGTCTTTGAGTATCATGGTAGGTGACTCCTGCCTGGCTCTGCCATTTAATCTGGGCGTCCCAGGATCGGGGGGCACAGGAGGACTGTGCGGGGTCCAGAGCGGTAGGGGCTGCGCTGATGGGTCCTCTCCTCGCCCTTGCAGAGGTCCCCTTATGATCCCTACTTCTGGCCAGAGGAGCAAGTGCTCATCAACCGCGGAGACATCATTAACAGAAAGGTAAGGACACGGTGGTCCCACCTCACCCACAGGGACCCTTCTGCAGCTGTGCCCGGGTGGCAACAAGCCTCACAGTCACTCTGTCCCTTTTGCTTTCTAACCGTCCTTCCAGAGGACACTCCCCAGCAGTAGTGCCTGCAGACACCCCCCCCCCCCCCCATGGTATGTTAGAACTGCCTGTCAGTGCTCCGCATAGGAACCCCTCTCTATTGACAGTCTCCTACCAACAAGAGATCCTAAAAGAGTCTCCCCTGTAATGACTCGGACAAAGATCCCCCAGCCGTGGGCCGCTTAGGTAGTGACCTCTACACTGATACCCCATACCGTGATTCCCTCTTAGGCCCCCTCCCCCCAGAGTGGCCTTCCTCAGAGAACCCCATGCACTGAGCGCAAACATCCAGGCAGTGGCCTCCTACGGTGATACCTGCCTGAAGGAAGGTCCTTCGCCCTCTCCCAGGATGCCTGGGAAATGCAGGAGTTCTTCACTCGAATGTACGTCAAGCAGCTGCTCCGGCACTGGGCGTTTCAGCTGCTGCTGGCCACGCTGCTGGTGGTCAACGCCATCACCATCGCACTGCGCACCAACTACATCATTGGCCAGGTGGGACTCTAGCCTGACCTCTGCACCCACTGACCTCATGGGGCCCCGGGTAAGGCGCTTCCCTCTCTGGGCCTCAGGCTCCTCCTCTGTCTGTGATGATTGGATTGGCTGCTCTTCAAGGCCTGCTGGCACTGACCTTCCAGTGGTCTAGAGATAAAGGAAGCTTTGGTGGAGGAGGGGGCCCAGCTTTGAGGAACACACTGCATTTGTACAGAAAGGGCAGGGGGAAAAAAACAGTGTGAGCAGACACGGGCAAGCTGATGCCTTGTATGGAAGGGGATCCCATTTTATTTATTTATAAGATTTTTTTTTTAATGGATTTTTAGAGAAAGAGGAAGGGAGAAGGAGAGAACAAGCGAAACATGGATGTGAGAGTGCAATACTGATCAGCTGCCTCCTGCACTGGGGATCGAGCCTGCAACCTGGGCATGTAATCTTTTTTTATTTTTATTTTTTTATATTTTATTGATTTTTTACAGAGAGGAAGGGAGAGAGAGAGATAGAGAGCCAGAAATGTCAATGAGAGAGAAACATCAACCAGCTGCCTCTTGCACACCCCCTACCGGGGATGTGCCCGCAACCAATGTACATGCCCTTGCCCGGAATCGAACCTGGGACCTTTCAGTCCACAGACCGACGCTCTACCACTGAGTCAAACCGGCTTCGGCCTGGGCATGTATTCTTGACTGGGAATGGAATTAGCAATCTCCTAGTGCGTGAGAAGATGGCCAACCAACTATGAGTTGTGGCTCCATCCCCAATAGGGAGTGCAGGCATCTGATCAATGATTCTCTCTCATCACTGCTGTTTCTCTCTCTCTCTCCCTCTCCCTCTCCCTCTCTCTTCCTCTCTGAAATAATCAAAAATATATTTTAAAAAATATAAAATAAAATAAAGGAGCTACAAAGATGCTGAGGATGAAGAGCAGCAGGAATATGGGCCTTCCCTCCCCCCAGGATGTCCTCTCTCCCTGGCCTTGCCCAGACCCACACTCCACTGACCTCTCTGTCCCTCTCTTTTCTCTGTCTTCCATGTAGAGACACTATGAGTTGTTCTCTACCATAGATGACATTGTGCTGACCATCCTTATCTGTGAGGTTCTCCTTGGCTGGTTAAATGGCTTCTGGATTTTCTGGAAGGTGAGATCTTGAGCCCTTCCTGCCATTGTTCCTACCCCTCCTTAGGAACTATACCCCATCCAGTCCCCATCCGTGTGCTCCTGGCCCTGAAGATTGAGAAGTGTGTGTGTGTGTGTGTGTGTGTGTGTGTGTGTGTGTGTGTTAGAGAGACTACTTCAAATGTCCTCTCTTCCAGGAAGCCTTCCTATCTCTTCCAGACTAGATTAGTTGTTGCTCTGTGTCTCTCTAATATTATGTGCTTATCTTTCTCACTTAGAGTTAATGTTTACTGCCTGTCCAACTCCCTCAAACAAAATAAGCTGTGAGCCCAGAAGTGCAGAAATCCTGTGTTTTTAGAATCTGGTTCAGGGTCTGGCATATAGTGTGAGTTTAATACTGGATTGGTAGAGGAATGCATCTGTAGACAGGCAGACTTGTGTCTCCTTATGGATGTGTAGCCACAGACATTCTGAACTTGGAATACTGCACGAGTTTGTATTTATTGGACTACCCAAGAAATTTAAGATCATTTTTTCATTAAAAAATAGTTTAAAAAATATTTAGTACAGATACATATTGGTCAAAACTATATTGAAAAGTACACAGAATTCTTGCTTTTATTTCTTCCCTTTCATCCCTTTCTCTCCACCCCCACTCTCTCTAGGTAATCTTTGTGTATTTATAGTCTCTTGCTTATCCTTCCTCTGTCTATTTTGCAATCATAAGCAAATAAGTATATATTTTTAGTCCTCCCTTTCCTAACAATAGCATGCTATTGTCACTGTTCTGCACTTTGCTTTTTTTTTTTATTGTTTTAAATATGTTTTCATTGATTTCAGAGAGGAAGGGAGGGGGAGAGAGAGATAGAAGCATCAATAATGAGAGAGAATCATTGATCGAAAGCCTCCTACATGCCCTCTAATGGGGATTGAGCCTGCAACCCAGGCACGTGCCCTTGACTGGAATCCAGCTAGGGACCCTTCAGTCTGAAGGCCAATGCTCTATCCACTGAGCCAAACCAGCCAGGGACCCTTCTCTTTCAGCTAGGGCTGCACTTTGCTTTTGTCACTTAATGGATCCTGGCAAACTTTCTATGTCAGTACATGAAGATCTTTTACTTTCCTTTCTTTCTTCTCTCTTTCTTTCTTTCTTTCTTTCTTTCTTTCTTTCTTTCTTTCTTTCTTTCTTTCTTTCTTTCTTTCTTTTTATGGCTAAACAGTACCACTCCAATGAATGAATGTGTAATAGTTTATTCAACTAGGGCCCAATTGCTGGACACTTTGGTTGTTTTCAACCTTATACAAATGTCATTTTGTACTTGAACTAGGGTTTCTGTGGCTCAGGTGTCTAGAAGTGGGATGACTGGTCAAAAGGTCACTGCACATACTGTTTGTTTGCAAATTCCCTGCTTTAGTAGTTGTGCTTGAGTTTTCATCTCTGGGAGCTTCCTTCCCCCGTCCCCACTCCTAGATGAGTTTGTGCCTTATTGGACAAAGGGCTTGTAAAAATTTCCTGTCTCTGTCATACAGTGAGAGCTAGTTCACCTCTGAACTGGCTACTGAAGCAGTGGTCTTTAATGCTTTCATTAGTATTTATTTTCCTTTCATTTTTCATTGGGAGTGTGTGTCACACAAAGGCTGGAGCATCCAAACACACTCTTGTCACTTCACTGTAGGGCAAGGCCATTGTCAGCAGCGCGCTGACCAAGGCGGATGCTCAGCTTAGGAACTAGCTTGTATGCGTGTGCAACCAAACACTGTGTGCCTCTGAGACCGCACTTGGCTGTTGACACATGTATGAGAGAGCAAGTGCATGCCTATTGGGTGGCATGTTTTGTAGGCAATAGAATGAGTAACAACCGTGAATGGCCCATGACTGGCCCTGCTGTGAGAACATTGATCCCCTCACCCTTGGGGGGTGGGGGAAGGCAGACCCAGGATGTCTCTATGGGCTGGGCCTGACAGACCCCGATGGGGCTGGCCCACCCCACCCCCCAGGACGGCTGGAACATCCTCAACTTCCTTATCATCTTTATCTTGGTCCTGGGGTTCTTCGTTGATGAACTCAATGTCTCCTCTATCACCTACACCCTCAGGTGAGCTCTGGAGAAAAGAGGGGGACCTGCCTGGACCCTGGGAAAGAGATGGGGGGCTTTTCCGACTGGGGATAGTTCTACCTGTCTGGGAAGGTAGGGTGGCAGTGAGGAGGAGGGGTCTGGGAAGGGCTGAGGGGCATCCCTGAGAGGCTCTGCTACAGGGTCCTTCGTCTCGTGCATGTATGCATGGCTGTGGAGCCCCTGGCCCGGATCATTCGCGTCGTCCTGCAGTCGGTGCCTGACATGGCCAATATCTTGGCCCTCATCCTCTTCTTCATGCTGGTCAGTCCCTCTCCCACCCCAGGCACTCCCTTTCCCAATGGGTCATTGGGGACACAGGGGTGTCTGGAGAAGAGGAGAGGTTTATGGGCCCAAATCCCTGTGATTCCCTTGACAGCGTTCATTTGTATGTGCTGTCTCCAAGGCTCTGTGTGAAGTCAGACGGGTCTTCGGTCTCTCTGGCAGGTGTTCTCCGTGTTTGGGGTCACTCTGTTTGGTGCATTCGTGCCCGAGCATTTCCAGAACATGCAGGTTGCCCTGTACACCCTCTTCATTTGCATCACCCAAGATGGCTGGGTGGATATCTACAATGACTTTCAGTGAGTCCCTGTGAGCCTTCTGATCCCCCAGCACATCCAGGCAAGGCAGGGGCTGGGCTCTCATGAAACAAAATACTGGCTGGAGAGGGGAGAGGGCTCCAAGTGGGTGTGGAGCTCCAAGGCTGGGGATGAGGATGCCCCAGCAGGAAAGGGGTTCGGGGCTTTAAAGAAGGGAAAGAGGTCCCCGAGTTTGGGGCCTCTGGGTTTGTGGACCACTTGAAGCCTTGTCCCCTTGAAACTTCACACAATCTAAGTCCCACCACAGGCCTAGTCATGGATATTTCTCCCATCATGCTATTCAGCCAGGTTGGCAGGCCTTGGGCACGGGAGCTGTCTGTGGTTGCACTAAAGCTTTAGGCAGCCTCCCAGCCCACATTGGAGCCTACCAAGCTGCCTGGACTCCTGGGAACTTAGGGTCTCATTTCATTTATTCTTAGACTCACTGCCCAAGGTCACGTTTGGCCACAGGTGGCTGCCTGGGTTCTGTCCTTTACCCCTTCCCATTAAGACGAAACAATATTTGTTTCCATTCCACTCCAGGGATTTGAGCCCATTGATGATGATACCTTTTTATCCCGTTCATGTGAGAGTAGAAGCTCAATTGGTAAAGTGATTCTACTGTCATTATCCATTGTGATTTAGGTGGTAAAGAAATCACAGAGTGTGCAATAAAGGTGGACTGGGCTTTTGAGTTTTTACCACACTAGCCATATGAGCTTGTCAAATTACTTTTCTGAGCCTCAGTTTTCTTATCTGTCAATTGAGGATTACAATACAATATTAGCTATAAATTGTCATAAATTGCTGTGAGGATCGATATAAATCTCTTAGCATAGAACCTGGCATAGTATACACACACACACACACACACACACATACACGTACACACAAAGGGGGGGGGAGAGAGAGAGAGAGGAAATATTTTATGGGATATTTACAATAGGTATTAACAGTGGGTGGGATTTTCCCTGTATATTTTTCTTCTACTCTTTCTATAATGAGCTTGAATTATCTTTAATAATAAGAAAGAGGATAGCCAATAGGTTAAACTTGATAATGCAGGGGTGGATTGAGGACCCTGCTGTCTGGCAGTACAGCAGGTGCTCAGTAAAGAGCAGCTGCTGTAACAATTAGAAGTAGGCATTGGATCTCACCATAGCAGTGAGGCAGCAGAAGTCCTAGTAGGCCTTGAGATAATTTCCCCATTTCATAGATGAGGAAACAGCTCAAAGGGCCAGGGCGGTGACAGGGCCCCTACCTGCCATCTCCAGGACGAAGACCAGCGACGACTACGCAATGGAGGTTGCAGGTGCCTTCTACTTTATCACCTTCATCACTATCGGTGCCCTTATTGGCATCAACCTGTTGGTCGTCGTGGTGACCACCAACCTGGAGCTAATGATGAAGGCAGAGCAGGGACGAAAGAATAAAATGATAAACCTCAGCGGGGTGAGTGAGATGGGGAGGACAGAGGGAGGAGAGGGGTGTATGCCTGAATGCTGACTTGAGCATGGGGGTATGTGTGTGTGTGCTCAGACATTCAACTGCCTGGAGAAAGCCAAGCCTGAGACCCAGAGGCATCATTTCCCACCTTGAGTGCCGATTCACCAACTGGGGCTTCTGAGGGCTGTGGATTTGCTGGATGTTTTATTTCTATGGCAACTCAAACTGAGTAGCCTGGGTGACCTTAGGGCATTTAACCAATCTAAGCCTCGATTTCTTCTTCTGTAAAATGGGAATAATGATAGCGCTTACCTCAAAGTACTGTTATGAGAATGGCATGGGTAAATGAATAGTACTTGACACATACTAAAGACTCACTAAATGTTGGCTACAGTATTATTTAGTCAGGGTTAGAACCTCCAAAGGCTTGGGAAGGTAAATGGCGTAGTACTTCCCACAGTATTGAAGTCACTGGGCTGTGGCTTTCGAAGTTTGCTGGGTAGGATTTAGCAGGATTTAGCAGGAGCGAGAAGGCTAAGGTTGTTGGAAGCTGAAATGAGGGATACTGGAATCCTGGTGTCCTAAGAGACTCTCTGAAACCAAGCAGGAAGGGGCTGGGGCAGAGGGTGCTGGCTTGAGCTGTCTATCCCCTCTCCGTTTCCCCTTCCTCAGAGAGAAGATGTGGAGTACGGGAATAAGGACCTGCCGCTGGTGCACTGCGAGGTGGCCCGTTTGGAGATGTCTGGCGTTCCCCAAGAGCCGCTTGTGGGGGGCCCCCTGTCCAACCTCTCGGAAAGCACTTGCGACAACTTTTGTTTGGTGCTCGAGGCAATACAGGAGAACTTGATGCAGTACAAAGAGATCCGAGATGAGCTCAACACGTAGGGCGGGTACTGGGGGTACCCCCGAGTCCCGTGAGTCAGGGCTGAGCAGAGCCTCAGCTTCTTCTGGCTATATGTCCTCGCCATTTTATAATGCGGTCCTGAGGCCCAGAGAGATTAAGTGACTTGCCCGTGGTTCTCCAGCCTTTTGGAGGAGCTGGAATCCAGACTTCCTGGCTTGGCCTGGATCTTTGTCAGCGAGAAAAGGGAGGGTGAAGGGGCAGACACCAGGAAACAGAGGGAAGGATGGCCCCTTTCCCCTTACCCTGAACGTGCTCACCCCTCTGCCCCTAGGATAGTGGAGGAAGTACGCTCCATCCGCTTCAACCAGGAGCAGGAGGAGGAGCTATTGCAACGACACTTGTCAAAGACCCAGTCGTTGGGGAGCAGGTCCTCCATAGACCTCCGTGAGATGGCTAGCCAGCAAGACTTGATCTCTGCGCTCGCCCACAGGGAAAAGGTGCCGTTTTCCTCTCCTACCCGATCTGTGCTCATCCCGCCACCCTACCCAGCCCAACCCAGCCTACTCTCTGAGGAATTAGTCCAAGTTTTCCAAGACCCTCCCCTCCAGACTCCTAGCCCCAGCAGTCAAGGCCAATGGGCCAATCTGATTAGGTTCCACCTTTTCTTCTTTAAGAGGTCTGGGAATCCCTCTCTTTGAGCCACTTCTGATTCTAGTGCCCTCAAACCTACCCTTCCTTAGAGAGGCGTGAGCCAGCTCAGATCCTGCTTAGCGGTAGATACTTACGCCCACTGATGGCAAAGGACCCCTGGGTCCTGTTGAGGAGGAAGCCTCTGGGGAGAAAAAGGCACACCCCCACATTAGCTTCTGCTTCCCACACCATCTGACTGTGACTGTAAAGCTCCACAGCCTGGGCTCCCAAGCTCAGAGAGGATACTAGGCAGGCTAGCCATATGCAGGACTTCCTTTAGAGGCCTCGATGGGGCAGACTTGAAGCTGGAGGAGGGAGGTAAGGAGCATCTGCCATGGCAGGGTAGGGTATTGATAAGACCTCTTGGCCTGCAGGTTCAGGAATCTACCACAATTTTAATTAAAAAGAAGAGGGGCAGCCCCTGAGAGGGCAGGAGGGGAGCCAAGGGGCCTGTGCACACACGCCCAGCTGCTGCATCTTCCTGCATCTCAAGCATGACTTGGCTAAGCCTGGCCTGAGCCCATCATCTCCCTTCCACTCGGGGTGATGCCTGGAGCCAAGGAGGTGGTGGCCTCTCCAGGGTCTGTGCCTGTGAGCTCCAGGTCCAGAGGAGCCAGGACGGAGAAGGACGCTGGATGAGAGCGGGAGCCCTACAGCAAGAAGGTGCTGGCCAAGGCAGCCAGGATTTGGCCTAGGTAGAGGCATCCCTGGCCCCCTGCTCTAGGCCAGAACTAGATGGGGCCTCCATGGGCCCAAGAACTAAGAGGAGAAAGCTGAGGCCAATAAGGCCAGGCATCTGTGTATTGACAATAAAGTTTTATGTTGGGATCAATGTGTCTTATTTGTGGATCTCCAACACCTTGGAGCAACTTTGCCCCAAGTCTGATGGGCAAGACAGATCTGTTTGTCTAATGGGAAAGTCACTGACTGCCCTCCAGAGCTTCCAATCTAATGGGAGAGAGAATCTGCACCCTATATAACTGTCCCCCCACTAAATGGTAGAGATATAATTCATGTGCTTAGAGACCTGAAATTTGGCGACTGAGAGGCCCTGCCTGATGCAGGAGACAGTCCTACCCACTCTGTCTGAAGGCAGAAGAGACTGGTCCTCATTCTGGGGAATTCTAGTCTAATGGGGTCACAGTTGACCAAGTCATGCAGATACAGGAAGCTCCATCTTGGGGCAACGGAGAATGACTGGGCCCACTGTGGGTCTTGGCAGGCTTGCTAGAGGAGTGGAGCTGAAGCTTACTATAAGTCAACAGGAAGTTTGTGGACCAGGATAATGAAGTCTGGTGAGGGACCTGTGACCTGTGAGGCCTCTTGGGACTTCCAAACCAAACACCATTTACAGCCATAGCAGGTTTCAGACTTAGGCAACGCAGAGGATCTAAGAAAGCTGTGGCAGTCATGGGCAACAGGAAGAGAGATGTTGGAGGACAGAATTCTGGTCCTTAGGCAAGTCACTGGGCCTTGTCATCTGTGCAATGAGGAGAGGATGAGATTGGTTTCCAGCTCCAAGATCAAACGGCCCGCTCTGAGCCCAGGAGTGGGGAGGCCAGTGAAATCAGCCACATTACTGAGACTCGGGTTCCTGGTGTTGGGTAAAGGAGAAGGCTGGAAGGCCCAGAGTTCTGCCCAGCTATTTAGCAAAGACTGAAAATTAGGAACCTTGGGGGTATTCATCAACTTGAATGGGCATCCCCAGAGACCCACTGATTGCAGTTAATGGGGAAACTAGCCTCTCTCAACCGCCCCCCCCCCCCCATCAGCATTGGCTTCACTCCAGAGAAGCCCTCTGGGATCTCCTAGGGAAAAAAGTATGAACACCCCGGACAGGTGGTATACTCAGCAGGCAGGTGAGAAGTGGCCCCAGTGACAGCAGTGCCTCACTATCTTGGAGCTGATGTTTGGGCCAGGACTGCTTTCCAGTGCCCTCCAGGATCATCAACCAACAGAGCTACGGGCAGCCAGTGGCTTTTGCTGCTGCTGCTACTGCTGCTGCTGCTATTTACTGGAGATCGAGCCCTCAATCTGCCTGGTGAGTATCTACATACACCGTTTCCATCTATCCTTCTCTGGGGACTCTCACATCTCCTTGTCTGGCTGGCCAGAGAGGGGAAGAAGATCAGGTAGTATCCTCAGGAAGATCCTATAATGTGAGCAGAACCATCCTCCACCCTTTAATTGGCTAAAAGGCTTGGGCATCAATGAGTTTGGAGACAGAAGCATGGTGGGATGACCTTCAAGGGGCTTCTGGTTTTGCTCATCCATCTTCTAGGATGCTAGCTTCATCTATCTACTGCCTCCATTTTGTCACCTCAGCTATCTCCCCCTTTTTGTCTGTCCTTCCCATCTGGGCTGGACCAGTAGCTTGGGGTCTCAGCAGGCTAGTTTTCTCCCAAGCTGGCCTAGAACGGAGGGCCGAGGAGCTCGGACACCTGCTGCCCTCTCTTGCCCTACTCCAGCAAAGAGCTCTGCTGAACCTGAGGATGGCGGGCAGCCCTGGATCCTTAGCTCCTAGGACAGTATGGGGGAAGATATTGGTTCATAGATCAACATTCAACCACTGAGTCACGCCCGCAGGGCTCTCTTCCCATTCTCACCTTTCTAACACTCTGGATAATTCTCCCAATCTGTTAGTGCCTTGTGCCAACCTGTTTTTGTAAATCCTTCTTGCTGGTCTGAAACTGTCTCTCCCTTCTTCTTATTCCATGACAATCCTCTCAAGATACCACCCTCAAGGGAAAGCCTATGTCTTTAGTATGTCTATTCTTATCAGAGGCAGAAGGTTTATCATTACACCCTTGTGAGTCCCAGCTTCAAAATTTCATCAATTTTGCCCAATATTGATGAAATGATGGGAGTGTGCTGCCCTTGTCCTGTCAGGATGGCTCCTCAAACTTAAATTTTCTATGTGGGTTTTAGAGTTCAATGCCTCCTGCAGCAGGAATTCGGCAGGTTGGTACACAGGAATTGCACCAGAGCCTGGGGGTGCATGCTGGGTTCTGGCGGTTGCTGATCTTGGATCCTGTTTCTGATAAACTCTGTGACTTGGGAGAAGTCAGTTACCCTTTTGGAGTCTCAGACTCCTTAGCAGTACATGAGTTATTGGTAGTCATAGTGTCAACGTAAGAACGTCTAAACCCATAGAGAGTTTTTATAAGTTTTTTTTAGTCCAAACTAATAACAAATACTGAGAAGCAAGATATCAAATGCTATGAAGAACTGAAGAATTAGTTTTGCAATTCCTTCCTTTCCTTTCCTTTCCTTTCCTTTCCTTTCCTTTCCTTTCCTTTCCTTTCTCTTTCTTTCTTTTCTTTTCTTTTCTTTTCTTTCTTTCTTTCTTTCTTTCTTTCTTTCTTTCTTTCTTTCTTTCTTTCTTTTTCTTTCAATCTTTCTTTCTTTCTGTTGTTGTTAATCTTCACCTGAGGATATTTCTTGGGAAAATATGTTGGTACAAGCAATAAAATAAAAGTTAAATTTAACTAACAGTCTTAATGTTTTAGTTGAAAAAAAAACTTGTCATTAATAACTTGTCATTTAATGCTTTAACAGCTCCTGAAAAATATTAACTTAAATGATCAATTCAAATAAATTTTTCCTATACAACAAAGTCAGACATTTATTAAATCAGTACAATTAATTACATTTTATTAGGAAATCATATTGACTTTACAGGTCTGGAGTAGATTTTAAATATTCCTGTTGCCAAAGGCATTAACTCTTGCCCTTATTTTATCTATTTATTTAGTTCATTAATCCTCACTAAAGGATATTTTTTCCATGGTTGGGAGGTGTGGAGAGAGAAAGAGAGAGATCTGTGAGAAATATGATCAGCTGCCTCCAGCACACATTCCATTGTGGAATTGAGCCCGAAACCCTTGACATATGTCCTGACCAGGAATCAAACCAGCAAGTGCATGGAAGGATGCTCAACCAATTGAGCCACACTAGCCAGGGCCCTTCTATATTCTTAAAATATGAGGGTGCTGATAGAACCCTGGAACACATCCCAGATTCCTTCCTCTAGAGTGAATTTGATCCAGTAATTAAAGTTCTTTAGTCTGGTTCTTCAAAGTTAAAAAAAAAAAAAAATCACACAGCTTTTTAATGTCTCTCCCTCCTAAGTCAGGTTTCCAGATTCCCTGGAATTTCACTATCCTTCGGCTGATGGTTTTGTTCCTTCTTTAAACAATTTCCAAGTATGATTTTTACATATCTATTAATGCAATGAACTTAATTCCTTTTCCTGGGGTCTGAATTTGGGTATGAAGGCAAAACTGAGTACTGGTCACAACTGACCACTGACTCAGCCCAAACCCTGACCCCAGCCCCAGCAGCCCTAACCCTGACATATGAGCAGTGACCCACACCCTATTTTCAGGTGGGAGTACAATTCGGAAGTGGGGAACCAGAGAAGGGAAGGGCAAGTTGAATGGGATTCCCAAATGAGTTGTTCTGGCCGCCAGCTTCTCCATCTGCACAAGCCCCGCAAGCTACCCCAGGCCTGGGGGAGCAGGACTCCGCCCAGAGGCGAGACCCGGGCAAGGGCCGACCCGAAGGCTGGCTGGGGCGGCGGGGTCATGCGCAGAAGGATCCACCCGCTCTCGGAACCCAGGGCAGCGGGCAAGGGCGGGACACCGGCGCGGCCCGGCTCCTGATTGGCCACAGGCGTGCAGAAAGGGGTGGGGCCGGGGAGGCGCGCGGCCAGGCGGGCGTGCAACGGCCGTTAGGAGAACCCGGGGGCGGGATCGGCGCGCCGGTGGCCGACGTGGTGGCCGCAGTTGGTGTCCCTGAGTGAGGTATGTCGCCGCCTGTTTTCGGGCCCACGTAAGTCCTCCTCCACTCGGAGACTTCCGTCGGGTTGGCAAACCCTACCCCACCTTGGGGAGCCTTGGAGAAGCCTCAGACACGCACGACCTACCTACCTCTCAGGAGAAGGGGGGACGACGGGGGGGGGGCGGGGGGCGGGGATGGCGCGGTTGAACGAAAGCGCATGCGCACGGCCACTGAGCCGTCCCCCTCGGTCTCCGGTCTCCTTAGCTGGGTTTCCTAAAATAAAGCCCCGCACACGCCCCTTGGAGTTTCTCGCCTTGCTTTCCACTCCGTCGTCGTTGACGCCTCAGCAGTCGCCGTACCTCAGTGGGGGCCTCAGGCCTGTGCCAGGCGGACGGCGGGAAGCGGGGTCCTTGCCCTCGGGCAGCGCACAGCCCCGGGAGAAAGCAGACGTGGTTACTCAGTAGTGAGGGGTGGAGTACGAAGGGAATCCAAGTTGCGGGTGTGGTCTGAAAGGGCTGGGAACCCTTCCTGATGAAGTTTGAGCTGAGATTTGAAGAAGGAATAGATTTGGGGGACCGAGGGCACTTGTGAGGTGTGAGGGCTCTGGGCTGGAGTTTCTGAGCCGAGGCCTTTTTGCTCTCCG